AGGGCAGGACCCCCCCAACCTCCCATACAGAGCCCCAGGACCGGATTCGATCCCCCCCCCCCCCTAGCCACAGAGCCCCACAGAGCAGGGGGTCGGCTGGGCAGAGCCGGGGGGGCTGGGCAGAGCGGGGGGTGGCTGGGCGGAGCCGGGGGGCTGGGCAGAGCGGGGGGGTGGCTGGGCGGAGCTGGGGGGGGCTGGGCGGAGCCGGACCGGGCTGCCCTCACAGTGCCCGGGCTCAGTGCCCTGGAGCCGCTGGGAATGAGGTTCAGGCAGGACCCTCCTGGAGTGCGACACCCCGAGGCAGACGCTCACTGGGGCGCCTCATGGAGCGTTCAGCCCCCATTCCCACCGAGAGCTCCCTGCAGGGGGGTCCGCCTGGGTGGTACCCGTGGGGGAGCCTCAGGCCCCCCCAAGGGCCCTGCTCCCACCCCTGCAGCCAGCCGTGACTCCCAGCCAGCGTTTGGCACAGCCTGGAGCACAGCGTCGGACAGACCCAGCGCTGGCTCCAGGCACCAGCCCTCCAAGCATGTGCTTGGGGCGGCGCTCACCCGGCGCTCACTCGGCGCCCTCCCCTGCTGTGCTCCCCGCCGGGGGGCGGCGGGAGGCTTTTTTGCCTGGGGCAGCAAAAAAGCCAGAGCCGGCCCTGGACAGACCATGTGAGCGCAGGAAGATTCAGTGAAGTCCAACCCCCCCCCCCCTCCCCCCCCATGTCCCACCCAGGAGACTGAGCAGCCTCCAGCGACTTTGAAAAGTCATGGAAGACAGGAGAGATTCCAGAGGACTGGAAAAGGGCAAATCTAGTGCCAATCTATAAAAAGGGAAATAAGGACAATCCGTGGAATTACAGACCAGTCAGCTGAACTTCTGTACCCGGAAAGATAATGGAGCAAATAATGAAGCAATCAATTTGCAAACACCTAGAAGATAATGAGGTGATAAGTAACAGTCGGCTGTGCCAAACCAACCTGATAGCTTTCTGTGGCAGGGTAACAAGCCTTGTGGAGGGGGGGAAGCAGTAGACGTGGCATATCTTGACTTTAGTAGAGCTTTTGATACTGTCTCACATGACCTGCTTATAAACAAACTAGGGAAATACAATCTAGATGGAGCTACTATAACGTGGGTGCAAAACTGGTTGGAAAACCATTCCCAGAGAGTAGTTATCAGTGGTTCACAATCAAGCTGGAGGGCATATCAAGTGGGGTCCCGCAGGGATCAGTTCTGGGTCCGGTTCTGTTCAATATCTTTATCAGTGTGTTAGGTAATGGCATGGAGAGTAAAGTTTGTGGACGATACCAAGCTGGGAGGGGTTGCAAGTGCTTTGGAGGATAGGATTGTAATTCAAAATGATCTGGACAAACTGAAGAAATGGTCTGAAGTAAACAGGATGAAATTCAATAAGGACAAATGCAAAGTCCTCCACTTAGGAAGGAACAATCAGTTGCACACATACACAATGGGCAATGACTGCCTAGGAAGGAGCACTGCGGAAAGGGATCTGGGGGTCATAGTGGACCACAAGCTAAATATGAGTCAACAGTGTAACGCTGTTGCAAAAAAAGCTAACATCATTCTGGGGTGTGTTAGCAGGAGTGTTGTAAGCAAGACACGAGAACATAAGAACATAGGAACGGCCATACTGGGTCAGACCAATGGTCCATCTAGCCCAGTATCCTCTCTTATGACAGTGGCCCATGCCAGGTGCTCCAGAGGGAATGAACAGAGCAGGGAATCATCAAGTGATCCATCCCCTGTCGCCCATTCCCAGCTGCTGGCAAACAGAGGCTAGGGACACCATTCCTGTCCATCCTGGCTAATAGCCATTGATGGTCCTATCCTCCATGAACTTATCTAGTTCTTTTTTGAACCCTGTTATAGTCTTGGCAAAGAGTTCCACAGACTGACTACGTTGTGTGAAGAAATACTTCCTTTTGTTTGTTTTAAACTTGCTGACTATTAATTTCATTTGGTGACCCCTAGTTCTTGTGTTATGAGAAGTAAATAACACTTCCTTATTCACTTTCTCCACATCAGTCATGATTTTATAGACCTCCATCATATCCCTCCTTAGTCGTCTCTTTTCCAAGCTGAAAAGTCCCAGTCTTATTAATCTCTCCTCACACGGCAGCTGTTCCATTCCCCTAATCATTTTATTGCCCTTTTCTGAACCTTTTCCAATTCCAATATATCTTTTTTGAGATGGGGCGACCACATCTGCATGCAGTATTCAAGATGTGGGCGTACCATGGATTTATATAGAGGCAATATGATATTTTCTGTCTTACCATCTATCCCTTTCCTAATGATTCCCAACATTCTGTTTGCTTTTTTGACTGCCGCTGCACATTGAGTGGATGTTTTCAGAGAACTCTCCACAATGATGCCAAGGTCTTGAGTGGTAACAACTAAATTAGACCCCAGCATTTTATATGTATCGTTGGGATGATGGTTTCCAATGTGCATTACTTTGCATTTATCAACACTGAATTTCATCTGCCATTTTGTTGCCCAGTTCCCCAGTTTTGTGAGATCCTTTTGTAGCTCTTCGCAGTCTGCCTTGGACTTCAGTAGTTTTGTATCATCTGCAAATTTTGCTACCTCCCTGTGTTGCGGATTGTGGGGGAGTTAGGGCCCTGCACCCCTCTTCCCGAGATTCACTGCGACTCT